CTGGATGTACCATAGTTTATTTAACCGGTTCCTGCGCTAATAGAACCGATACAAACAGTCTTGCAGTGAATTTATATATTTATATACACACAATGCTGAGAATAGTGCCTGACACATAGTAGAGCTAAATAAGTACTGTCATTGTGGGAAAATAAATACATAATGCATATTTTATATTGTGTGCGTGCAAGTACTATGTGTCTGTAGGATGAAGTCCCAGAAATGGCATTACTTAATGTAAAGGGTAAATAATACATTAGAAATTTTTTCTAGATATTGCAAAATGCCATTCCATAGGGATTGTGCCATTTTACATATTTACAACATACTACTCTGGGTCAGCGATTTTCAACTGGTGTATACCACAAGAATTTTTAAAACATACGTGTGCTGCGGCACACCGGTTGATGATTTAGTAGTTGTCAGATATTGAATGTTCTAAAAATTCTTGTGGCACATCAGTTGAAAATCGCTGCTCTATATAAATGCAAGGTATCAGGGCAGCAGGTGCCTAACAGAAGTGGTTGATAAATTGTCACTACTTAGTTGTCTGTTAAAATTGTGTATGTTCAGAGTTAGGGGCTAGACTGTGTTGAGGCCTTAGTGAATGATGAGTTTTTCATTGAGTTTGTGTTTCTAATGTTTTACCACTCAGCCTATTTTTTTTTTCATCTTATTTTTTCATTATCATAGCAGAAAAATGTTTATACAATACCAAATTTGGAAGCCATAAAGGAAAAGATTGATAAGTTTGACTTCATAAAAATAAAAAGGTTTAGTAGATTTGAAGATATGATAAGCTAAATTAGAAGACAAATGACAATACTGGAAAAATGTTTGCAGTCATTATTATAATAGAGTTTGTAACAAAGATTTAGTTACAAAATATTTACAGCAGTGTTGTCTTAAGCATGAAAGAGCAATCTGGATTCCAGCAGCGGAGGATTGATGTACATTTCCGATTACCCATATAAATTAAGCACCTAGACATTATGATGTAAATGGATAAACTAGCACTTTTTTTTTTTAATCAACATGAAAAGAGCAATATTGGAAAATAGCACATGTGATACTTTGTAATTAAAGAGTGCGTATATCTCATTTTTATTAGATGTATAGAGTCTACATGCAGAAACTATCCAAGATTTGTGTAAAGTTGGAAGAGGACTTATTCCAAGATTGAGGGATTGTAGGCAGTTTTAAAATTTACATTTGTCTTCTCTTTCTCCTGTTCCTCTTCTTCCTTCTCCTCTTCCTCCTTCTCCCATGTTTCCAAAATTATTTATAATGAGCATGAATTATTTGGGTAATCTTTAAAAGCTAAAAAGGCAATAAAACATTCCAGATATTTAGAGGGGGAGGGACATCTCATTTTGTAACATAGTTGTAATAATAGAAGATATGCTATTTTTATGTTCTTTACTTTTATCACTTTTAAACATTTTCCCATGTTACTACATAGTCACCACAATGTCATTTCAAATGACTAATGTTCTGTCGAGTGGTTTCTCACTATTTTTTAGGAAGTTTAAAATGTGACATAAGCGTCAGTAGGATTTTGCTTTCTCGTCTGGAAACCCTTCTTCAGACCGGAGTTATCACGATCAGGTGTGAGATTGGCGGTGACTTAATGAGGCCTCAGGAGTCCGGCTTCCTTAAGTCCATGCCTCCAGACAGCTCCATCAGAGCGGAACAGAGGCTCGATTTTATCACACCCCTTTACAAAAACACAGCAACAAAATCACCCACAGATAGTTTGTTAGTGGGGTGAAATGCTGCATGGAACAAAGTCAGGAAATATGTAAACTATACCTTAATTGATAAATGATAATATATTTGTCATCTTAATCTAGTCTTACATTTCCAGTAGCTGTTTTCTGAGCTGACGTGGCCTCTGATGTGAGGAAAGTTGCAGCCTCTGGCCTGTGAGCCCTCTCTCCGGCCACTGGAAAACACCTTCCCCAAGGAGCAGAGGAAAGGAAGAGAGAAATCTGGTGCAGGCGTCCCCGGGTTAAACTTTCTCTTACCCTCACCCACTGGCTGCGTGACCTTGGCCTGACCGTTCCAGAGCCTCCTTCACAGGCCCTGTTTCTCCCTTACAGTCAGGTGCTGCCCTGTATAAAATTATACGTTGCCTTTCTCTGCGGGACCGTTCATTCATCTGACTTCTCCTTGTGTGTGAACAAGACATTACAGTTCAAACAAAATTTAATTTCGCCTTAGTTCCTAAAGCTGACTTCCTTTCCCCATTTATCTATTTGTTTCCTTAAATGTCACCTTGGGGTCCCTGCAGCAGATTTTCCTTTTCTTTTTTCCTCGGGGAACATCTTTTTTCTGATGGCCAGAGGGCTGACAGGTTAGAGGCTGCAACTTTCCTTGGAATAAAATGGCCACCTCACAGCTGCCTGAGCCGGCCCTTTGCTGCCGCCTCACTCAGCACTCACTGGGCTCTCAGACACGCTGATCCTAATCTCCTCCGTCCAACCCCCAGACACGCGGCTTCAACAGCTACCGCAGCCGCACGTTCATTATCTGCTCGGACCGCAATTACTTGGCAGCCCCCTGGACTATGAGGTTTCTGTGGGCCCCCGAGAGCTCATATCCTGCAGAGAGAGACTAATCACGGCAGGTCCTCCCGGCGGGGACACTGAAAGGGAGGATTGCGATTGATAGGGAAGTTTTAATTTTGAGGACTTAATCTGATCGGCTTCTGGAACAAGATGTGTAGATGTACTTGCTGTCCATTTTCTCTGTGTGTTCTCCGGAGGCTCATTTGATGGCGCGGTGATAGCATTGTCATAAGGACACAGAACTTTATTACACGGCTCTGCCCCTGCCCCTCACCTGCCGCCCTGCCCAGTGCTCCTCTGAGGATTCATTCAGCCGGCATGTGGTAAGGGGAGGACGACCCAGTGTAGTGCTTAGTGATCTGGGCCCCTGCCCCCTGGAAGCTCCTCGTCGGGAAGGCGGGTGCCGAGTTTCTCGGCAGTTCCCTGAGATGCAGTGAGAAACGGTGCGGGTTGGTTGAACTGGCTTTGGTTGCTAGAGCTCAGTGGCAGTAGCTTAGGTGATGGGATGTAAGGGCCAGGTCCTGCCTGACTGACTGACTGACTGACACAAGCAAAGCCAGGGACTCTGGAAATAGAACAAAGACAGAAGCCAGAAGCGGCACGGGCTCCAGTGTTTGTGCGTGCCCCCGGCCCTGTCTCCAGCTGAGGGAAGGGCCTGGGTCAGGAGGCTGGCGTCAGGGAGCAGGGTCAGGGAGCAGGGTGTGTCCCCGTACCTGGCCAGGCCTGAGCCCGTGAGCTCCCTCCAGGCCATCTTCTGCTGAGGATGGACACGCGGGGCCACATCAGGATGAGCTGGCCTTGCCTTCTGTCAGAGGCCAAAAGAGCTGGATGTAGTTGACCTCACAAAGCAGCTGTGTTTTCAATTAAATCACGTCCTTGGACACAGCATCTAGTTTACAAAATTAGACTCGCCATCATGTCGCTTTTAATGATTTAAAACAGTCTTGCTTGTAGAGCAGCCGTTCTCAGGGCATGGTCTGCGGACCCTCTCCTCTGTGTGGGTCAGATTTTCTCCATCAGCTTCGACCAGAACAGCAGGCCGAGGACAGAAGGCAGATAGAGACAAGAATCCAGCTGTCTGCCGCGAAGCCAGACGTTATAGTATAAAACAGTGCCACTCTTCTAGCTAAAGTTTATTTTATTTTGGTGAATATAATAATTCTTCCTAAAACTGTGTTGTTTGTATTTGTACTTCTTAAATTCTTATTTTTATATGCATTAGTATTTTTAAGCTTTCCGTTTAATTTCTGTTATGGTAACTATCAGTAGTTGTAACCCACGCACACGGCTGTTGGGGTTCTCCATGTGCAGCCTTGGTCCTGGGCACAGACCTGCTGCACGGGAGGACGCGGGAGAAATGCCGGCATCGGCTCCCTTTCTCTCCGTCCTGCGTAGTGAGAGCTGATCCGCACAGACCTGGATCTGCTCAAACCCTTTCCGAGAAAATTGGCTCTTGTCTGGAGTAGCGTAGGGGCCAGCCAGAGCCAGAGGATGGTGGTGGCGGTGGCCGCTAGTCCCTGAGACCTTGGGTGCGGAGGCTCATGCAGTGCCCTGTGCCTATCGCTTTAATTTTCCTCTTTATATTACCAACCGCTTGGGTGAAGCACTCCCCCGTTTAACTCCGTTGGAGGTGTGTTCCTGAAGGGGAATTGGTGCTGTCCTGGTGGAACCTGAGATACAGGTCCATCTCCCTGAGGAACGGGGTCTCCAGGATGGATCCCTGTGGGCACCCCTCTTTCTCTCAGCCCAGCTCTCAGCCGGGATGTCAGTTCAGCTGTGTCTGGAGTCCTGCCCACAGAGATCCATAGACGGGAAGAGAGATCCACAGTCTTCCAGTGCTGCCTGCTCCTGTCACAGGCTTCCTCCAGGGCAGTGAGGCCGGTGTTACTGGTTGATTCCTAGAGTGTCATCTGCACATGAGTGGCTGCTTGGGAACGATGCCATGACCCCTCACGGTTGTGGTGGGATAGGGAGGGAGGAGGACAGCCAGTGATGCTGAGGAGGGGAGAGGAGGAATGGCACTGGTGTGCTTGCCCTCCTGCCCCACAGAATGAGCCCCTCAGTGCGGCTGTGTGAGCAAGAAGCACTTCCAGCTGCCCTCTGGGGCACCTGTTCCCTTCAGGGAGGCAGCCCGGGCGGCACAGGACCTGGTGGCCGCCCGAGGGCCCAGCCCAGCTCAGCCTCCCTGTGTGGCTGGGCACGCCACTTAGCTGCCCTGAGCCCCGGATCCCTAATTGGTAAAAGCAGAGCCATGCCTGTCCTGTCTGCTTCACCGAGTTGCTAACAAGACTTAGATTCAGTGAGATTATGACTGGGAAAGCAAATCACAGGTACAGGTGCCAGTTCGTGAAAAGGCTTCTTTATAGTGCCCACGTGGTGTCTGCTACTTGACCTTTGCCCTCTGGACTCATGAGGCTTCTGCTCCTCCAGGTTACCTGTGCATGACCGACGAGTGGTTCTCCGAATTTGTCTACGAAGTGGTGGTGGACCGGAAGCATGTCCCTGAAGAGGTGCTAGCTGTGCTGGAGCAGGAGCCCGAGGTCCTGCCCGCCTGGGACCCCATGGGGGCTTTGGCCAAGTGACGGCGCCTCCCGTTCTCCCTCCTCCCGCGGCACCTGGAGCAGCTGCCAAGGACAGATCCGGGAACTGGGGCCGGAGCTACACAGGCGACCGTGCGCGCCCACGGGACACTGTCAGGCCCTTGGATGTCTCCTCCAGGAACCTCTCGGGGAAGTGTGCTTTCTGTTGAAACAAATATTCTTAAAGAAAATAAAGGGAAAGATCGGGTCACACTATCTGTTCTCCTCATCTCCAACAGCTCAGGATCTCTTCGCATTTTAATCCGATGTAATTGTGTGTCTTAACTCTGTCAAAAAGGTTTGGCTCTGTGTCCGCCTCCGTAAGACAGGAGAGGATGAGCAGTTGAGGAGCACGGAGGGAAACGGACCTGTTTTTCCTTGTTCCTAGAGTAGAGTTGGGGGAGGGTTACCCTATGATTTGAGCTCTCAGAACTGCATGCTGCCTGACAGTATGACCGTCCCTCCCAGGTGGCAGTCACTGAATTCCGTTTTCTCAAGGGAATGTTATGTCTCTAATAGCCCAGGATGGGAGGTTGATCAAGTCCAACATGATTCCTTCCCGTTGTTCTGAACTGGGGGGGCCACAGCTCGATTTGAGTCACAGTTAAGTAGAGGCTTCGAGAAAGCTGAGTGAGAGAACAACCCACGCCTTATCCTGGTCTGAACTACAACGATTAGGAGGTGCTCTAGCCAAACGGTTCAACTTCTGCCCCTGGAACTGGGAGCTGGGTGGGCAGGAAAAAGTGAAACCCATGCTTTCTGACAACTAGATGGTGCTGAGAAGCTTTTGAATAAAATACTTTGTTAAACAGAGTAAGTCGGCTTATTTGGTCTCAGAAGTGTTTCTTTCTTTAGCTACCGAGGAAAGCGACCCGGTGACTCAGGTTCTACGAAGTGAAGAGGGGCCAGATGGGCCAGGGCTCTCCGGCTTCAACTTGTCTCTGGTCCTTCCTGGCCCGTGTGGTCCCCGCTGGTTCTGTGGGGGGCTTCCCAGCACCGTGTGTAACGATTCTCTCCCCAGATCGAGAGTCCTGCAAGGGTGGGACGTGAGGATGTGCTTGGTTCCACCTTAGAATGTGCTGGAGATTATGTGTTTTACTGAGACTGAGCCTTCCTTTCCCTGAGAGCAAATGAGTGTAACACCCTGACCAACACTTCCATCAGTGCCTTCGGGCCATCCAAGAACCTTCCCCGTCCTGGTCGGGCACACAGTCTCACACAGCACCTTCCAAGATAACATTAGGCAAAGGCTCAAGCTTTAATCAAAGGGCTTACAATAGTAATCCTGTCCCAAGCAGGATAAATAAGTCCATTTCTAGACACATCATGGCGAAACCTTAGAACAGGTTTTGGAAGCATCCAGGAAGAAAAGACAATTAGATTGACAGCTGACTTCTCACCAACTATATAAGCTAGAAGACAGTGAAATATATCTTCAAATGCTATAAAAAGTTAACTGTGAACCTAGAACTCTGTATTTTAAAAAACCATCAAGAACAAAGGTGAGCCTGGCTGGTGTGGCTCAGTGGTTGGGCATTGACTCATGAACCACAAGGTGGCAGTTCGATTGCCCAGTCAGGTTACATGCCCTGGGTGTGGGCTCAAACCCCAGTGTGAGGTGTGTAGGAGGCAGCCGATCAATGATTCTCTGTCATTGATGTTTCTGTGTCTCCTCTGAAATAAAAATATTTATTTAAAAAGGGTGAAATGAAAAACATTTTAATTCAAGAACTTGCCCAACTAGAAAGGAAATGATCCCATATGGACAGTCTGAAATGCAGCAAAAGATATAAATCAAAGAAATTGATAAATATATGTATCATCTAAACCAAACGTGTCAGACTCGAAGGCTAACATGGGCCAAGTAAACAAGATTTAAGTTTACGTGGATCTCAAAAAAAATCTTCAATTTTCATAGAAATGTAGGTTTATTTATTGATAGAGACATGCTGAATACAAAGGGCTGAAATAAATGAGTAATCTCTAACAAAATAATAGAACATTTTAATAAAAATTAATATTTTTTGTTGAACATCAACTTATCAGACACTGAATAACTGCACAAATTAATAAACATAACGCAAATAAACCTATTTTTCTTGTTCTCCGAAAGCAAGATATTTTCTGTTACACACACCAAACAAGTCAGTCCAAGACTAATGACTGGCAATGGGCTGCTAAAACATTTGCTGCTAGTATTAGTGGAGAGAAATGGTGCATAAGGGAAATGAATGCAACCTAATTATAGTAATCAGTCATTATTGAATGCTGTAGTTCGTCACTAATAATTATGGATAATATGATATTATAAAAATTAAGTTATGGAATTTTTATTAAAATGCTTTTTACATAACATTATAGTGGCTGAGCCACAAAAACATTCATTGTAGTCTGTTTGACATGCTTGATCTTAACACAATGACTACAGGTGAGCATATTTAACAGCCCCTCAACCCTTCAGAACCTTCCTTTCACTCCCAATCCCAAGAGGAAGTCCACCTGTGCTTCTGGGGATTATGCAACGTAAATTGGTTTGTCCCGGGCTGTTTCCACCACTGGCTCAGGATTCAACTTTTTCAGCTCTGCTAACTCTGCCAGGACCTCTATCTGCTCTCCTTCACTCCTGTCCTTGCCCAGCTGCCAATTTATCTTCCAAACAAATCTCTTTATTGTCCCTTTTGACCAAGTTGAGTATCTCCTATTATTCAAATATCTGCATCTATAATTTTATCTTTTTAAATTTTGTTTTGTTTTTTTAAGTTTTGCCAAAGATGTTAATGTGTGTGTTTTTTTTAAAAAAAAAAACAAAACCAACTTGTGGCTTTCTTGATTCTGTTGTAATTTCTGCACATCTTCCTTATTACATATGGAACTGTGACCTCCTAGTTCATAGGTTCATGCTCAACCTCTGAGCTATCGTAGCAGGGCACTGGTTATTAGTTATAGCAGATTTAATCTGATGTATGCCTGTTCTTTCTTATCTTTTGTTGGAACCTAAATAGTCTCTTGTCAGATTATTGCCGAGTTTTTCTTAAAAATCCAGTTTGACAATTTGTCTTTTTTTCTGGAACATATAACCCATTTATGTATATTTGTACTTACTGACACATTTAAATTATTTCTACTATCTTATTTATGATATTTTGCATTTTTCTTTCTCTCCCTATCCTGTCTTTTTTATGGATCGATTATAATCTTGTTTGGGAACTACATCCTATTTATTGGTTAGTAGTTAATCTGAACATTCTTAGCACATATAATGAACATACCAAAGGCTAAAGTTAATATACTTAACTTCTTGAATGACAAGGACTTTATAATGTTTATTCCAATCACTTCCCTCCCTAATTATCTACTTTCACATATTTTCATTTCTCCGTCTCTGAAATCAATAAAAATATGTTTGTTTTAAAATAGCATCCAGTGAGGGAGAATCAAAGGATGTAGGTATCTCTTCTCTGCTGCAGAGAAAAGGAAATGGGAAGATGTTGCATGTCTTCTCCTCTCACTCCGGAATGATACTCTGGAAAGTCCTGTCAGCCCCAGGACTCCTCTGGCGCCCAGGAGAGTCATGCCCCAGAAGCCAGGCCCCGATAATGAGCTTGCCTTTAGGATGTGGTTGCTCTGGCTTGTCCTTAAAGGACCGCTTGATTCCAGTTTGCTGTTGGCAGGGCCTGGGCACTTGCAGGCAACGCCCATTCCTCCAGGCGTGTGGTTGCTGAACACGGCCACAGCCATTGGGTAAGTTGGATTTTTTTCTTTTAAGTAACTCCAGATGAGCACTCTCACACTAGGACAACTTGTTCAGAACCATGAAGCTGCTTGTTCCTCCGCGGAGTCGATGATACAATCGATGGGAAACGAGGAGTAAACTGGTCACAGTTGTTTTGTTTCCCCTTTCAAACTCCAAGGCCTCCCCACATTCCCACAGAAAGGGCGCAGGGCGCAGGGGAGGTGCTGTTCTTTGGAAGCAGGGCTGCGTGAAGATGGGAAGCCCTCCTGCACTCACTCCTCTTCCTGGTACAATTTGGATACAAATTGCTCTCTCTCTTTTCTCTAGAAAAACTGTAGTTCGGTAGCTCCTCTTTTTTTTTTTTTTTTTTTTTTTTTTCCTGTTCTGTTTTGTTGTCTTTGTTAATCCTCACCTGAGAATATTTTCCCATTGATTTTTAGGAGAGAGTGGAAGGGAGGGAGAGAGACAGAGAGAGAGAGGAACATCAATGTGAGAAAGACACATTGATTGGTTGCCTCCCCTACACACCCTGACCAGGACCAAAGATTGAGTCTGCAACCAAGATACATGCCCTTGACCAGAATCGAACCTGGGACCCTTCTTCAGTCCTTAGGCCAATGCTCTTATCCACTGAGCCAAACCGGCTAGAGCTCCGTAGTGCCTCTTGAAGTGGATGCAGTGGGCTCTGGAATCATCTCTCAGGCTCTTTCATAACTTTGCTTTTATTTATTTTTTTAAAAATCAGCTGCTGTACAGAGGCAGGGTGGGACTGTGGTGGAAGTCCCAGCGTGTGCTTGACGTACAATCGGAGCCTCCCTACATCTCACATGGCGGAGGCCTCACAGGTTCCCTCACCCACACTTCTCCAGAGCAGACCAGAAGCCCTTTAAGTTCTACGTGGACGCGTTCAGTGACAGGAACACACAGCCTCCTCCCTGTGGCCCTGGCACTCACCTTCCTCTCTTACCTTCTTGTTCACTCCGCTCCAGCCAACTGACTTTGCCCCTCAGACACACCAAGCTCACTCCCGCATCCTTGCTGTTCCCTCTTCCTGCAGCTCCCACATCAGGTCTTTGCATGGCTGGCTTCTCATGACATGGGTCACGGCTGGACTGTCAAGGCCATCCTGACACCTTATCTAAGTACCAGAGTTCCCTTCCCACTGCCTGTACCATGGCCACACCTGTCATGCTTTAGACGGGGCCTGGGGTCTATTTTCTTCACAGTGTTATCACTTTCTGAAATTATCTTCCTTTTTTTTTTTTTTTTT